TGAAAAGAACTCTCCTCTCTCTGTTGCACAGTCAAGCAGGTGCCCCTCTTCCATCTCCATCTCCTTCTTCTTCTTCTTCTTCTTCTTGAAAAGAGAAATTCCATTCCCCATAGGGTATAGGGTATATAAGAGGTAGGGTTATTACGTTTCTTGAAAGGGTTATTACGTCTCTTATATATTTATTATTTGGAGGGGGGGATTAATTATTTGAAAAATAAATCTAATTTTGTTTGAATACCAACAACTCACAACAGACCCGCGTTTCTCGGCCACAATGATGATTGCAAGGAGGCTTCTCTTTGCTTCGGGCAAGAATGCCGCCCGAGCTACTTATTCCGACAACCTGTTGTTGTCGCAAGCAGGTTCGGTTTAATTCCTTCTTCTTCTACTTCTTCATGCATGGCGTTTCTAGCTAGTAACAACAACAAAATCTTAAATACATGTCACTTGTCTAAACAAATCGATTTTTTTGCAGTCGCCCGAGCCTTTACGAGATTTTCGCCGGCAAGAAAGCCGGTGCCGGACCAGTGGAGTCGTCAGGAAAGCTTCTTCATATGCTGACCCATGGAAAGTCCATCTTCGTTTTAGACGTGGGTACCAGATATGTCGGGGTCTCCAAGATCATAATGGGAGCATTTGGTGTTAGACCCACGGTGAAGTTGGTCACGTATGTACTCCTATCACTTACTTAATTTTTAAATAGGGAGTAAATTGGTCACTTACTCACAAATTAATATTTGGTGTTGTACCAAGAAAAATAATAATGAAACATTCATTCAATATGTATTATACGTATAATCTTAGAACTATACATACTTTTAAGTATTTTTAAAAATCATACGAATATGTGAGTATAATACATGTCTTATACACCGTACTAACTTTCTACATCTATTTGAAAACCCATTATTTGGTTCGATATCATGTCGTCGGTATTTTTACCCTAGCGGGTGGGCATTTGAGTATCTAGTTTTTATTTTTTTTAGTTAAAATTGGTCAACTTTGAGTACTAGTTAAATAAAATTTACATTAGATATTAGAACAAGAATATTTTTATTAAATATATATTATAAACTATTTTAGAATTAATTTTTAATCAAGTTAATATGTCGTGTATTTTTTAATAAATTAAAAGTCAAAAGTGGATCATGATGGACTAAAAAAAGATCAAAACGACATTGTGGAAGGGCGGAGGGAGGTAGTAATCAAATACAGAGGGAGTATTAGAGAATGAGTATTAAAATATTAAGTAAGGGATAGGAGTACATACGTCGGGTAGGAATTGGGTACGAATCCGGACGAATCGGATAGGAATTGGGTACGAATCCGAAATTGGTAATTTTTTTAAAAATATTTGACCAATTAGGATTAGGTTTGGAAAGTAGTAATTTAATTAAGCCTATATGATTGAGAGACCTGGATCCGCCGCTTCTTCCAAACGAACCGATTCAGAGCAGAGACTTCTACCGCCGATTGCATCTACCGCCGACGGGGGGAGGGACCCAGAGCTTTAATTCCTGTTAATTCCTTTTCTTTTTCTGGCGACAAGGTAAGTTAATTCCTCTTCTTTTCTACCCAACTTTAATTTCCCTTTTTTTTTACGGAACCAGAGAGACCAGAGCAGTAGAGCACCACTTTGATGCTCTTTTTTTGACGGATCTGAGCAGATACCAAAGCAGTAGAACTTTAATTCTCCTTTCTTTTTTTTAGATTATTTTATTAATCTAATTTGGACCCTTGTTTATTACTGTATTACTGTTTTTTGGACCATAGTTTATTCCTTTTCTTATTACTGTTATCAATTTAGGTTTTTAATTAGTTGTGATTGTTTATTAAATTAATTGTGTTCTATGATTATTATCACATTCTTGTTTTTATTATTTAAATTTTTGTCACTAATTTTTATGTTATAAGTATTCTATCATTCTTTTCATGCTAATTAAGTACGTCATTGGATTGTTTTATGTTAATTAAGTAGAATATTATTTTTAACATTTACATGCCTATATTTAATATTTTAATTATCTTTTGTTGCCGAATCCTTGCCGTCCCGGCATCATTAAATTTTTAAAAATGCAGATTCCCGAATCTGTTCCCGTCCCCGTATATGTACCCGCACCCGTGCAACCTAGGTCACTTCCTGGGTTGCTAATGACAATAACATGACACAAATCACAGATTATTTTTTTAAGCAATTGGAAAAGAGCAACCAAATTTGAACATTTATTTGGGTTTAAAACTTCAAACAACAAAGTCAGGATGCAACAGATTCGAGCTATACACGAGCGAAGAAATAAGATTCGAAAGCCAAAATGACGGACATCATTTCACACAAAATCACGCCGGTAGATTCAAAGCTTACATGATGACGGACAGCAGCTCACACAAAATACCAGACTCACGGTGCAATTTACGAAATCAACAATTAAAAGGCTGTGAAACGAGATATTAGACCCAGATTGAGAAGCTTACCCTTGAAACCGTGGCGATCTACTCTATTTCGCCGCTTTAGTTGAAATCGTTGTCAATCCGACTCCGTGCTTCTCGCAGCTTTAGATCTCCTGGCTCGGTCGTCTCCTTAGCTTCAACCTCTGCTTCGTGCTAAACTAAGGGGACGATATTTGCTCTTCTGTCCGCTTCGTTCATCCGTCTTAGACTCTTTCTCGCCTCTCACATCCATCTCAATTCTCAATCGACTCTTCTGTTGTGTCTGCGATTGAGAATGAAACGGGGGATCGGAGTCTAATAAGCAATGACGGCGATGTTTACTTTATTTTTTATTTTTGTTGTTCACTTAATAAAATACTCCGTAGTATAATGATATCACTTTTAATTTTGTAGATTTTTTTATATAACTTTTTAAAAGTAGATTTCTTTTTTTTTAATTTTACTCTATTTTTATATAATATGGTTTTAAAGTAACTTCAATCAAACATCGTAATATGCAATTAAAATATAATTGCATATTTAAGATGGCGGAATAAGTAGCTCGGGTGATGGCGGAATAAGTAGCTCGGGCGGCATTCTTGTCCGAAGCAAAGAGTGTTGGGTTTGTGGAAGCTTGGGCTTGACTTTTTTGGCCCGGCCCATGTTACGAAACCCTAGATGCACTCTTCCTATATATATTGCATACTTGTACTTGTAATCGACACCACAAGTGAAATAAGAAAATCCTCCTGTTGCAGCCGTGGATTAGGGAAACCGAACCACGTTAAATTCTTGTGTGTCGTTTGTGTTCCGTTTCTCTCTTGATTCTCGCAGATATCTGTGTGTGTTGTGTGTTTAATTCCCAACAAGTGGTATCGGAGCGGTGTTTGTTCAACACGAACACAAATTGCTAGTTGTCACCCAGAGTTCTTGGATCTGTGCACAGTCGCCGGAGGGCAGAGGGAGCACAGGGGAAGCCGCTGAGAATCGTCGCTAACCCAGTCGCCGTCGAGTTCGCCGCTGGGTCTTGAACCGGGGCGAGGAAGATCGCTGACGTCGCTGCTGTGTGTTTCCGCCGTCGAGCTCCCAGATCTCTGCCGCGGTTTGCTATAGACCGTCGCACAC